AGTTCATCTATTTTTCAGCTGAGAACTGAGGTTATCCAGTTCATTAGAACGCCTGGCTTCTGTTTCTACCCAATGGCTATTTTGTCCCTCTCTCTCCCCTCTCCCCATAGTCTCCAATTCCACATTTTCTGTAACCTGACATCTTTATCAGACCTCTCAGTTAAACTGTTGTAGAAGAAAAAAAAACTCATCAACTCTCCAGAACCATTTGTGAGCAAGCTGTGATAAGTATTTCTTTGGAATTTCCCTGGAGGTTAAAAAGCATACTTGAGTTTCCCAAGACTGGTAGTTTAACAAGAGCTACTAACGGTCAGGTCAAGTTAATAGCACTAGAGAGCTGAAAAAGAGATTGTGGAAAAAGAATGAAAGGTCATTTGATCTCAGCTGATAAAGACATTGCCCACGTGCTGGGAAGCGTTAGTACATTCTTTGCTACAATCTAGTTTGGTTTGACCCTTATCTGTAGAACTCATGGCTTTTGTATAGCTATCCAGTAACATCTAATATTTACCAAGTCCTTGATTAATGTTTAAAGAAATATGGGCAATGTTTTTCCATTAAAAATAGTCCTGACTAACTTTCAATGGATCACCTTTTCCTCCCTGAACCTTTTTCTCCAGAGAACCTTAATCTTGTTACAATATTATAGTACCAATAATGCATATCGAATACTTACTGTGTGTAAGGTTCTATTCTAAGTGCATTATTTCTCCTTTCTAATTCTCAAAGATATGTTTTCCCATTGACTTGTCCTGGATTAAGTAGGTTGTAAAGGGCAAAAAGGGACTCTATTTTAAGTCTTTATGTCCCTAAAATATTTTTAATCACACTGCTCTGATGCCGCTGGGTATATCATGTCAAACCAGCATGCTCTATACTTGGTAGTTTTCAACAGAAATCAAGAGTTCAAATTGTTCTTTTTAAATATTTTCCAATCCTTCCTCTTCTTGTTTCCTTCCCACACTGCACAATGCAAGTAATAAAAGCTGCAAAGATGGAGCCAATTAATGAAATGTTCTCTTTGTATAAGGATATCTATTCGGAAAATGAACTCAATGGGCAAGAGAATTAAGAATTGCTTGTTTAAAATTCCAGTTATTTAAAGACTCAGCCTTTTGTTCATGATATTCCAGTTTGTCCACCAGAGGGCAGTTATAACAGGGGGAAAACCTTACTGGCCTCAAGGTCAGACCAGCATGTCATACAACATCTGGATTTTGTTTTAGGGTCCAATAACCAACCCTAAGATGATATCTGCTTCTTTCAAGTAGAACACAAATCATTATGGTTTTCTTTCTTCCTTTCTCTTTCTTTCTTTCTTCCTTCCTTTTTTCCTTCCTTCCTTCCTTCCTCCCTCCCTCCCTCCCTTCTTCCTTCGTTCCTTCCTTCCTTCCTTCCTTCCTTCCTCTCTTTAGCAACTTAAATGAACTTGTGATATCTTAGAAACCATTTCTTAATATTGGGATGTTAAAACGGACCAGAGTCAGATGCTTATATTGGGCCTGATCTTTTGAAGGGGGAGGGAGGTGGAGGAGTTGTGCTAGGCAAGCACTCTGCCACTTGACCCGCACCTCTAGCCCTTCCTGCTTTAGTTTCTTTTTAGATTGGTCTGGTGTTTTGCCTACCATCTTCCTGACCCATGATCCTCCTTTGCTGAGACCACAGGTGCTTGTTACCACTTTGGGAATATTTGTTCAGATGCCCAGGCTGGTTTCAAACCACAACCTTCCTAATTTCTATTTCCTGAGTAGCTGGGATTACAGTGTGAGTTATGCTGTTATTGTTGGTGTAGTTGGTGTAGCTGTTATTGTTATTGTTGGTGTAGTCAGAAAAATAAAAGTGGCAGATAACAAATTTCTTAATTCTAGAACAGAATCTAAATTTTAATTTGAAAAAAATACTTTAGTGAACTATTTGATTATGAAGAAATAAACAAGGATTCTACTATAATTCCCTAAGCAACTGATGAAAAACAAGGTGACTTAAAAAGTTAATTAATTCCAGGCTGGGAATGTGACTTAGTGGTAGAGTGCTTGCCTAGCATGCATGAAGCCCTGGGTTCAATTCGTCAGTACCATATAAACAGAAAAAGTTGGAAATGACACTGTGGCTCAAGTGGTAGAGTGCTAGCCTTGAGCAAAATTGCCCAGGTCATGAGTTTCAACCCCAGGACCAGCAAAAAAAGTAAATTAGTTCCAACAACAAAAGACAACAGTGTTTACAGTCTAGTTTCTTGCTTACCCCTCAGCTTCCTCCCCCCTTCCTATTTTGCAGTATGCATTCACATTTGATTCTTACAGATCCTTCTGTCTTCTCTAAACATAATGCTCCTCTTTGGCTCTATGACCTTTCAGATACCTTCTCTTATCTAAAAACTCAAATGTCCTCTGTCTTATGATTGCCCAAAGCTTCATTTGGTCCATTCCAGTATCCATATTTATTTAGGTAGGTAGGTAGTACTGAGGTTTTAACTCTGGGACTCATGCTTGCTAGGAAGGTGTTTTACTGCTTGAGCCATGCTCCAACCCTCCATTACTCTTTTTATCTCAGACAGAGTCTGTTTGTGTAGTTAAGCCTGCCCTTGAATTTGTGACTCTGCTGTATCAGCAGGGACATTGCTCTTTTTAGAAAACCTCAGACTCAAAATCTAGTTGTTCTTGGAATTCCTAGAGTGAGCCAAAGTAGAGCCCTTGATAAACATAAACCACCAGTGCCCAGTTTTACTTTTTATATATTTTTATTGTAAAAATACTGTACAGAGGGGTTGTAGTTACATGAGCATGGTAATGAGTCCATTTCCTGTCAAGCATTGTTACCCCTCCTGCCGCGGACCGGGTTCTGTCGGGACGACGGAGGACACCTAGAGGAAGAACTGGAATAGGTGGGGAGATGGCAAACAGACAACTCACACACAAGAGGAGTGGATGCTGAGTGCTGAGTGCGATTTAATGCAGAGGATAACAAACTTTTATAGCAAAAGTCTCCATAAGAAAGGGAAAAAGGTTACATAATCTTGCTGCAGGGCTTCATTCTTGGGCGGTCACCAGCTGGTCGCCTGAAAGGGCAAAAGTTTACACAATCTTGCTGCAGGACTTCATTCTTGGGTGGTCACCAACTGGTCGCCTGATAGGCACTTGTTTCCAGCTTATCTCTAAGAAATATAATGGGTTTCGATGTTTGTCACCAACTAACCATTACCTTATTTCTATAGAGGCCTTAACTGTCCCATAAGATCTTTCCTGTTCCTTCTTTAATAGTAAGGTCATGGAGGCCTAGATCTAGCAAGTCTCTTAGTAAATGAAAGAGAGTAACAGGAAGTTCTTTCTCCTAAGTAGTTATCTCAGCAATTGCCATACATTCTTTCTGTTCTAGCTGAGCCTACAGCTTCTTGTAAATCCCTTACAAACAATTCCTTCTGCTGAAGTGACTTCATGAAACCCCCAATACTTTTATATTTACTTATGACTTGTCTACTAGCCTCCATAAGAGGGGTTTCAGGGTAGCACTTAACTCTGGTGAGTTAGTCATATTTTTTAAGACACTCATCAGATTTTGGAGTCGTCAACACTCTTAAAGAGCTTTGAATAAGGGAACGTTGACAATGAGTAAGTACAATGAACAGCAGAAACAGTAAAAGATTAATAGGCACTCTTATACAGTGAAGAAAAGAAAAGCAAGAACAGAAACACATCTTTCCCATGGGTTTGCCAGTCTTTCCAGGAGTAGGCCTCTTAGAAGCCCTATTCTCTGAGGTAGACTTCGGTGAAGTCCCAAATCTCAGAGATAGGTCTCTGAAGCCCCTTTCTTAGGTCTGATAGATGGTTTCCCATGCTAAGCAGACTCCACTGGAGTCGGCGTGGCATCCTCCCCTGTTTTTCCCTGCTTTATTTTATTTTATTTATTGTGCCGGTTGTGCAGCCTGAACTCTGGGCCTTGGCACTGTCCCTCAGCTCTTCAGCTCAAGGTTAGTGCTCTACCGCTGGAGCCATAGCGCCACTTCTGGCTCTTTCTGATTATGTGGTGCTGAGGAATCAAACCCAGGACCTCATGCATGCAAGGCAAGCACTCTACCACTGAGCCACCTTCCCAGCCCCCTACTTTATTTTTAACTTAACATATCATGAACATCCTTCTATAGAAATAGATACAGAGCCATGAAATCCTTTTACCAAGGAAGTTTAATATGAAGAGGGTTATAGTTAAGAAATGATGTACAATTTATTTTTGCCTACTCAACAGCACAACTGCAAGTAGATTAATCCTTAGTTTTCTTGCTTTAGTATGAAATAGTTCACAGTGTTGTCATTTTTCTCTCCTCTTTGGCTCTATGTTCCCACTGAAACCTCCCATTCCATAGCCCTCCCTCTCCCACACTGAAGTGTAGCCAGTATCTAGCTTGGTCACTGGATCTTAGTTTTGGTGAGTCAAATGTGAAAAAATAACTCAGATGTCCTTTATTGTAAGATGCAATAAAAGGAAATGTACAGGATGGGGACTGAGAGTATTGAGCTTTGAAAGTTTGTTTAAAATGTGTGTGTATGTATTTCTTATCAATTACACTAGAGTCTTTTCTCCCCAGATTTGAACTCAGAGGCTAGGGAAGATGCAGTATTTGGTGAGATTATGAGCTCCCATCTTTGGACTGTCCTGTGTATTCTGAGCATGATAGTTCACAGGAGGAAAGCACTCACTCACCAGGATCACTTTCAAATGCCGTTTCAGATTTCCCTTTCTCTTCGGGGTAAGCAAGACAGACACACTTCTAGAATAACAGCATGTGAGCACGGTCCTTGCCTGGGCAGCTTGTACAGGCTGGAATCTAAACAACTGCAAACCATGCTCTATAAATAGCCATTCATTGTCAGTGTGTGGGAAAAGACAAGTGTGTGTGGTCAGATTCGGGCCTGGTTAAGTGGCTACTCTGGGCAGGGCTATAAAAAAAAATAGCTGCTCAGATTGGAAAGCTAGTTTAGTAGGCGAAGGCAAGAGCTGTGCCACTGACTGTGGAGAAGCTGTTGGATAGCATTTTGCCTTGACCATGGCAAAAATCATTTTGAGGCACCTGATAGAGACTCCGGTGAGGTACCAGGAGGAGTTTGAAGCCCGAGGTTTAGAAGACTGCAGACTGGATCATGCTTTATATGCACTGCCAGGTCCAACTGTCGTGGACTTGAGCAAAACCAGAGCCGCGCGGCAGGCTCTTCGCCTTGACTCAGCCACCCAGGAGATGCCACCCCAGGAAGGCAAAGCCCGATTCCAGATCCTAGTGGACGTGGTCCAGTTCCTGCCCGAAGATATCATCATCCAGACCTTTGAGGGCTGGCTGCTGATCAAAGCACAGCATGGAACCAGAATGGACGAGCACGGCTTCATCTCACGCACCTTCACCCGACAGTACAAACTGCCCGACGGCGTCGAAACTAAGGATTTATCCGCCATCCTCTGCCATGATGGAATTTTGGTGGTGGAAGTAAAGGATTCGTTTGGGACTAAGTGAAACCTTTATTGCTTCCCGTGTATGGGACAAGATGAAGATCGCAGGCCACAGTCCAGCTAATGGTTATCACCGGGATGTTGTTGCAGCTCTCCCATGTTTGAAACGATTTGCTGTGACTTTTATGAAGATTAAAATATATACACCTATATATATATATATACACACAGTTTCTGGTATGTGAAGGTTGTCTTTATTATTCTTATGGGAAAGGGGGAACTTGTGAACTATGTTTGCATGGTTTGTACAGATGTTATTTCTAAATGGAAGCACTGGAGTTTCAGGAGACTGCCGTTTCGAGACTACTGTAGAGAAAGCCTCGGAGCTGTTTCTCTGTGATTCTGAGCTATCCGAGGCTATGATGGTATCATCTACGATAAAACTCCAGAGCTCCTTATTTGTGTTACAAAAATCTTTCAGTCTGCTCAAAAGAACGGTGATTCCCTTCCCTTGATAAGTTGTTCTTTAATGTGTATGTTAACTAAAGTGGAGCAGAATAGAGTCTGGATGTTAAAATGTAAGACTTGGGAACGGTCTGGGATAAATTTCTGATTTTCTGCAGTTGCCACTGTCTTAAACTTCAGTTGCAAATTTGAGATACCAATCTTATTTTTTCAATTATGCACCTCACTCACTTTTTTTTCCTAAGCTAAACAAAATCCTATCTGGAGTTTTATTTTTTAGTAGGGAATTCTTGTAAAGTATTAATAAACTAACCTAGATTATAGTCATATATATACATAACTTAAGATACTAAAAAGTTCAGTTACTGGATTCAGTAAGTGTGGATTCTTGCTATTCAGAAGCAAGATAGATTTTTAGATTTCATGAGAAGGTAAAATGCAATGCAACTGTTTTCTCTGCCTAATCCTTAGCTTTAAATAGCCTGGCAGCCAGTGAAAGTCGGGACACCTGAGCCTGCGCAGTGGCTCTGACTTTGCACAGCTATCTGTAGACTGGTGCTTATATTTTTTCCCAACTAGTTGAGACATTGGTAGAAGCTAAGAATTTACATTTAGGAATGTTGCCTGCAACAGCTGTCCCATGACATTCCAACAGTTTGCTATCTCATTCTGTACATGCTAAATATTTCTTCAGAGGAAGTAGCTGCTTTCCTTCTGCTTGGCACTGATGGGAGCTGACAATGAGCCTGAGGACAAGTCCTAAGAATAGAAGAGGAAGGCGGAGATAGAAGACATGAGGGTCAAAGCAGATGGCCCACAGGAGCCTGGGGTCTTTTCTGATATTTCCCTTAATTTACGTTAAAACAGGAAAGAAAGACTTAAACAACTGAAAAACAAAAGTAATTTTGAAAACAAATATGATCTAAGAGGGATGTTTGTGGGCTAAGTTGAAAGCATTTTTGAAGTTATGTTTATACAAAGTTAAGGCTGTTAGATGTATCAGGTCCAGGATCAGAAATTGTATTTGACAAAGTAACTATCACAGGATAGTGACAGTAACCTTTGTTTATTGCACAACAAAGTTAATGGTGACCAGTGGGATTCAGGTCTTCCAAGCTGACTAGAACTGGGATACTGTTTGACCCACATGCACTATTTGACCCACAACCAATATTATTTCCTATCAGAATAATGTGAGACAAACTAGTACTTTGAGAAACAAGCAAAGAAACAACAACAACAAAAAAAAAAAAATGCTCTCATTTGGCCTGATCTTCTTTAGGATGAGATCCTGCTCTGAGAAAGTTCAGGAAATGAAATTTCTATTCAGATGAGTCACTAGTAGAAAATATTTCCTTTAAAAAATAAAAATCAAACAGATCTGCAACTGGGATATTTTTCTAAGATAGCCTTAAGGGCATGTCTAGTCACTTTTTACTTGGGTGCATCAAAAAGTATAAAAATAAAAAATCTCTTCTGTACTTAAATATCTAATGCATCCTCTCTTACCACTTCTTGCATAATTAAGGTTATATCACATGAAGTCTGCTATGCTTGTCATATTGATTCCTTCTACCAACCAAGACCATTCTCTACCCTTCCCAGTTTCACTCTGAGTCAGAGCAGGCTGATCATACTAATTTCCAACTGGGTTCAGCCAATGAGAGGCACTTACTGGAGATGAGCTGTTAGAAAGAGAAGACTAGGAGGCAGGAGGGGAGAAAGGTCAGGGCATTTCTTCTCCTATCCCAGCCCGCTAGAGGTTAGTGCTCTGGCAGGTAATGGACTTCTCTCCACCTGTGGAGAGGCTGCAGTAGTTACTGGACTCTGACACTGGAATACTGTTTCTTTCTTTGAGCTCTCCATTAGGAGGAATGGCTTCCTGCTCTTTCTTGTCCTGATGTTTCTCTGTCTTTTGTCCTTTCCCTCTGCCCACTCTCACAAATGGTGCCTTATTAAAGCCTCTTCAGGAATAGAATTCTGTTTCCTTCCAGAACTCTGATTTCTTGGCATTTTGTGATGAAAGGAATTTTTAAAACCCAGCTTATCACTTTCTTTTATTACCAAACACTAATTCATAATGGCTATTCACTATTTCCACACGGATAGACTGCGTTGTCATTTTTCCACTGTTTTTCATTCTTGCCCCAACAGGAAACAGATGGCATTCTCAAACTGGATTAATTGAACAGGGTTTATTTATAAGGAAACTAATCACAAAGGGCCAGGCAGAGTATAAAGGGGCTACAAAGAAAATGTTATTGAGCAGAAGGTGGCAGTGTGCCGTCGTTATCAAGACTGTAATTGTAGCTACTCAGAAGGCTGAGATCTGAGGATGATGGTTCAAAGCCAGCCCAGGCAGGAAAGTCTGTGAAACTCTTATCTCCAACTAAACATCAAAAACAGCTGGAAGTGGAGCTGCAAGTCAAGTAGTACAATGTTATCCTTGAGGAAAAAAGTTCAGGGACATGACCCAGGCCCTGAGGTCAAGTCCCAGGAATGGCACCAAACAACAACAAAAAAGAAAGAAAATGGAGGAGGAAGTGGAGCTCAGAAATTAAAAAACAGGTGGAGGCATGGCTGAAGGCATAAACCTCAGTACTGTCAAGAAAGAAGAGGAGGAGAGGAAGAAGAGGAAGAGATAAAGGAAGGAAGAGAAAGAGGTAAAGGAAGGAGGAGGAGGAGGAAGAAGAAAGTTGAAATTTTCATTGGAAGGGCACAACTAGCTTAGGGTAACTCACAGTGAGAGAGCCAGGAGAACAAACTTTCTTTTTTCTCTCTAATCTCCCAGCAAGGCCCCTATTGGTTGACTAGTGATCAGAGAATGAGGGAGCTCCATTAGTCAGTTTGATGGACCCTTAGGGTAGAGAGCAGGTGAGGAAAAGTGGAAGGTGACTCATAGAGGACACGGAAATATATCCAAGATTCCAATAAAATCTGCCCAGTTGTGATCACTGCATCTTAGGAAACCTTCCTGCAAAGTAGAGCCTGATAAAGGCTGAAGAGCTGACACTTCATTTGGGAAATACAAGCTTAGGATGGCAAAGATAGAGAAATAGGGAAATACCATGTGACATGGTGGTGGTGTGTTACCATGCTGGCCGTCACTTCACAATGAGCGAAGACAGCCATCTCTTGGCAGAGGTGGCTCACAATGGAACTGTTCTGTGAAGACTTCAACAAGGAAACACACCTGAGAGCCATCCACAAGGAAATCAGAAGAAGGAATTCCTTCACCTGGCTCCTTATTGCATCCCATTTTCCATTCATCCAGCTCCTGCTCACAGGGAACAGCCTCTTCTGCATTTCTGCATTTATCATCCAACTCTTGGGTGGCTGCACAGGAGACTAGATCCTCAGTAGAAGAGAGAGTTCAAAGTTGCCTTTAAGAGGTGGGCATGACATTTCATCCATGCAGGAAGCAGAGGATGACTCAGTACGGAGAGTGCTGACTGGGGAGTATGAGTTCAGCACTTCAACTTGGACTCCTACCACCTTCAAGAAGCTTGGCAAAGACACTGGCAAAAGTGGCAGCTGTATGATGTGGGAGACAGGTGATATTTTCAGATCCCAGGGCCTCAAGAAGGGAATATCACGCAGATCAGTCTTACCACATCTATTGCCTCTGCATGCTACACTGCCTTCAAAGGCTCTGAATGCAATTATCACCTCATATTTTGACCTAATTTGCACCTATTTTGCAAAACAAGTCCTCTTACACTTCTGAAGGAATTTTTTTTCCTGTAAGTTTTAAACCAAAGTCTATCTCTCTATATGTAAGCTTTCTGCCTTTTATCCCACCAGTTTAGAAATTGGTGACAATTTGTGTGTGTGTGCCAGTCTTAGGGCTCAGTGTCTGGGTATTGTCCCTGTCCGTGAGCTTTTGTGCTCAAGGCGAGTGCTCCACCACTTGTGCTCAAGGCTAGTGCTCTGTCAGCTCTACTTCTGGAGGTTTTTTTGTTTGTTGTTTGTTTGTTGTAGTTAATTGGAGATAAGCTTTCCTACCCTGACTGGCTTTGAGCTGTGATCCTCAGATTTCATTCTCCTGAGTAGCTAGGATTACAGACGTGAGCCACAACTGGTAGCCAGTTTTGAAGACTTTAATTCCCATTGACCAACTTAGTAAAGTCCAGACTTTACTCAGGCCTTGCATCTTCCTCTTACTGCTTCTCACCTGCTTGCCCTCTAAGGTAGAGGCAAGATTACTGGAAATCTTGTGTGGAAAACCAAACCAAATCAAATTGAAAGAAAGTACACAGTTTATAGCTAGTTGTCCTCATGATCACAAACATGAGTGACACACAGCCTGAGTGACTTATTGAAGATTCCTGAAAGATGTCCAGCTACTCAAAGATTATCAGTAGACCTCTGTTCTAACTGTATTTGGCACTGAAGTACACTTCTCAGGCATACAACTCTCAAAGTCACCTTGAAAATCTTTTTCCCTATTTGTCCATTGTATGCAATTATGTCTGAACTGTGTCTGTCCACATTTTGTCTCATTAGGAAGATAGTAAGCAAAAGAATAAGAACTTTATGTTCTGTTTTGGTTCCTGTGAGCCTCCACAGCTGATAAGTGTAGTCTCCGACCAGTCAAGTCCTGGAGCCTGCGATACATAATCTTCTTCAAGTGGATCGCTGGGATCCTTGCCTGGTGAGAACTGCACATCTGGTCCTGGGAACTTGGAGTCTGAGCCTCCTGTCATGCTAAGTT